GTTCACCAACGTCGCCAGTTTTGGAGGAAAAACGTGTTAAAAAAACGTGTAAAAAAACAAAAACACAAAAAAAAAAAGATGAGAAATTCTGTTTTAAGTTGGGAATATACAAAACTGGAGCGCTCACGGTAGCAGCATTATTTTCTGAGATAGTTTTATTATGAGTTTGAGTTCTGCTGATTTTTAAGGCTTTAATATTTATGATTTCAGAGTTGTACAAATCTGTTAAAGCCAGGGCTGTCGACCCGGTCCTCCAGGGAGCCGGTCTGGCTGCGGGTTTTCGGTCCAACCAAGCAGGAGCACGACAGACTCCACCCATTTCCTCAAGTCTATGGCTGCATCCAAATTCATAACAAATGCCCCCTTTCTCTTCCTTCCTCGCCTTTCATTGACTTTTGTGGCATCAAAAACATTTAAAAGTTGTCAAAGTTTGCTTGATTAAACCTGGAGCTTCCCGTGTCAAAAAACGATACATTTTCCAGCTCTTTAGATTAAATATTCCCGTCTCCCTCAGACCTGCTTCTCTCTGGTCTCTCTTTCTGGTCTCTCTCCGGTCTCTTTGGTCTCGCTCTCTAGTCCCTCTCTCTCTCTCTCTTTCTGGTCTCTCTCACTAGTCTCTCCCTGGTCTCTTTGGTCTCTTTCGAGTCTCTCTCTGGTCCCTTTCTCTGGTCCCTTTGGTCTCCCTTTCTGGTCTCTCTTTGGTCTCTCTCTGGTCTCTCTATGTTCTCTCTGGTCCCTTTGGTCTCGCTTTCTGGTCTCTCTATGGTCTCTCTTTCTGGTCTCTCCCTGGTCTCTTTGGTGTCTCTTTCTAGTCCCTCTCTCTGGTCTCTTTCTCTGCTATCTCCATGGTCTCTCTCCCTGGTCACTCTCCCTTTCTGGTCCCTTTGGTCTCGCTTTCTGGTCTCTCTGTCTCTCTGGTCTCTCCCTGGTCTTTTTTGTGTCTCTTTCTTGTCCCTCTCTCTGATCCCTTTTTCTGGTCTGTCTCTCTGGTCTCTTTGGTCTCTTTCAAGTCTCTCTCTGGTCCCTATCTCTGGTCCATTTGGTCTCCCTTTCTGGTCTCTCTTTCTGGTCTCTCTCCGGTCTCTTTGGTCTCGCTCTCTAGTCCCTCTCTCTAGTCTCTCCCTGGTCTCTTTGGTCTCTTTCGAGTCTCTCTCTGGTCCCTTTGGTCTCCCTTTCTGGTCTCTCTTTGGTCTCGTTGGTGTCTCTTTCTAGTCCCTCTCTCTGGTCTCTTTCTCTGCTCTCTCTTTCTGGTCTCTCTCCCTGGTCACTCTCCCTTTCTGGTCTCTTTGGTCTCGCTTTCTGGTCTCTCTATGTCTCTCTCTGGTCTCTCCCTGGTCTCTTTTGTGTCTCTTTCTTGTCCCTCTCTCTGATCCCTTTTTCTGGTCTGTCTCTGGTTTATTTGGTCTCGCTTTTTAGTCCCTCTCTCTGGTCTCTGGTCTCTCTATGGTCTCTCTCTAAGGTCTCTCTCCCTGGTCTCTCTCTCTCTCTCTGGTCCCTCTCACTTCTGCAGTCATGACTTGGTTTGGACCGAACACCCGCCCGTGTGGAGAACCCGGGTCGACTCCTCCTGGTTCTGGGCATTTCCTCAGCGAGGCTAACACCAGGAAGTGGCCGTCTCCCGCCTTCTCTCTGCTGCTGTTCTGACCCGCGGAGCCCTCTGTGTCCGGGTGGTGCCTTACTGTAAAGACCCCTGCATTATTTTGGTGTTTCATCTTTAAATGTTGGTTTGTTTTCTCTATAAAAAGAACGTTTCTCTTTGTGAAGTGTATCGTGGCGTGTTTTCTTCGCCTCAAGTCAAATTAACGAGCAACAAGCAGCGCTCTCCCGGTCTCGCTCTGCTTCTGTCGAGATTCCAGGTCTGTCAAAGAGAGAGAGACAGAGAGAGAGAGACACACAGAGAGAGAGAGACACAGAGAGAGAGACACAGAGAGAGAGACACAGAGAGAGAGACACAGAGAGAGAGACACAGAGAGAGAGACACAGAGAGAGACACAGAGAGAGAGACAGAGAGAGAGAGACACAGACACAGAGAGAGAGACACAGAGAGAGAGACACAGAGAGAGAGACACAGAGAGAGACACAGAGAGAGACACAGAGAGAGAGACAGAGAGAGAGACAGAGAGACACAGAGAGAGAGACACAGAGAGAGAGAGACACAGAGAGAGAGACACAGAGAGAGAGACACAGAGAGAGAGACACAGAGAGAGACACAGAGAGAGAGACACAGAGAGAGAGACACAGAGAGAGAGACACAGAGAGAGAGAGATCGACTTTATACGTTTTGCAATTTTTTTTTCAGCTTTCAGACCCATTCATTTGATTTCATACGGTGTGGTCGTCTCAGAACGCCGCTGTGTTTGTCTGCAGGTGTTAGCGCTGGATTATGCATATTGTCTACTTTTATTCTACAAGAGACTTCAGTTCTTTTTGTACAAATCAAAAAAAAAAGAGTTTGATTCTTTGGACGATGTTTCATTGTTCTTAATCATCCCAGTTATTTATTAAAGCCGTTTTGACACACCTTCATTCAGCTGCTTTTTGGTTTCTAGTTATTCTTTACTTATGGGTGTTGGTGTGACGTGAAAGGTACAAGGGGAAGTTTATCTGTATAGCACACTTCATACATACAGTGCACACGGCAACTTAAACTAGGTAGAATCGATCACACAGGGCTTTAACATCATAAATAATCACGGTACAAAAAAAAAAAAAAAAAATCCTTCAGTTTTTAACCTGGGTTTGACCATTGTTGGAGTCTATCTCATATTTTCAGGAAGACTGTCCAGATATTAGCTGCATTGACTTTGGGACCAGCAGGAGGCCAGTCCCTGTGCTCCTCAGAGTCCCAGCAGGAGACCAGTCCCTGTGCTCCTCAGAGTCCCAGCAGGAGACCAGTCCCTGTGCTCCTCAGAGTCCCAGCAGGAGACCAGTCCCTGTGCTCCTCAGAGTCCCAGCAGGAGACCAGTCCCTGTGCTCCTCAGAGTCCCAGCAGGAGGCCAGTCCCTGTGCTCCTCAGAGTCCCAGCAGGAGGCCAGTCCCTGTGCTCCTCAGTCTCAGCAGGAGACCAGTCCCTGTGCTCCTCAGAGTCCCAGCAGGAGGCCAGTCCCTGTGCTCCTCAGAGTCCCAGTTGGTTCATATCTCACAGATGGACTTTGGTATGAGGCCATGGAGAGACACAGGAAGCAGAGACCTGAGACCAGGACTAATGTGATGGTACTTCCTGGTTCTAGTCCGGACTCGTGCTGAAGCGTTCTGGTGGTATTCTTATCGCATCACATTACGTTGCCAGATACTCAAGTACTTTGGGTTTTCCAGCCTCAAAACATAAGAGCTGCTACTTTTGGTTTCGGATGATTGTAAGAATGAAACCAATGTCTCTGCTTGTTATTCAGATACGTCACTTTAGATTCACACCAAGTTAAATTGGAGAAGTAAATCTATTCTTTCACCTGTATAGTTCTACTGCAGCTGTGTTTCCGCCGGGTCAAATGCACTGACAGATACAGACACATGAACTATCTTTCTCAGGGTAAAATTTGATCTGTAACTTCAGTAATGTCATGATTCTCCAGGCAACATTATGCCCTCGTCAGACCATGGCCTGAGGATGAATCGATCCCTCCCGGAACCTCTCCTCCTCTGGACCAATCAGGGGTGTCCGCTGCCCTGGCTCCATCTGCTCTCGTCCAATCGCAGCGTGGCGTGATCTTGTGAATGTTTCATGAGTGCTGTTTTCTGTGGAGGCGAGCGGGTGGCGGGACTCCCTCCTCTACCCGGCCTCCCAGGGGGGCCTCCGACGGCTGCGTGGGGCTAATGGGACCATCACTGGTGGGAAGAGGGGATCAGTTTACAGCCTCAGCTCCGGAGAGGAGGAGAATCGACTTCCTGGAGCAGAAGAAATACCGACACAGGCCTCTGACACATGCCTTTAGATGGAGACTTCGGACGGAAACATCCAGGAGACACATCATTCTATTCAGTTTATTTGTGTATTGCCCTAAATCACAGCAGCAGTTGTCTCGGAGTAATTTTTACTTTATATTTTTATAATAGAAAAAACAAAAAAAAACAAAGACAATTAAAATATATATATATATATATACAAAACCTCTATTTTTTTTTTTTTTTTTTTTTTCCTTTCCTTTCCCATTCTCTCTTCTCTGGCCCATTTCTTTGAACGGCGAAGACAGGCGTGAATACGTCAGATAATATTTACAGTCTATGATCTGTACACAGTCTATGTATAGAAGCAAACTGTTCCCAGAGCCAGGAACCAGATTTTTCCTGGTTTCCTCTTTACTCCAGCTTGAAACCCATATATTTTTTGTGTTTCCATTAGTCCAGGAGCAGCCGCAGCACGAGCGTGAGATCTCGCTGCCTCTCTGAAGCTGCAGGAGGCACACGCAGAGATAGAGAGATGAGAAATACACAGTGTTCCCATTAGGCTGTATTTGGTAACTTGTTTGGCTCTGGTCCTTTGAAAACTCCTCTCCACGGAGCTTTTGTAAACTGCAATAACCTGAGAATGAAGTAGGCACAGAGGGTAGGACCAGGACGAGCCCTAATGAGCTCCACTCTACAGACATTTATTTCTTATTACTAAGAGTACGAGGAGCAGGTGGCCGCGCTCAGGTCCATTACTGCCTTTTATACAACTGTACTTCTCCGAGGCCTCTTCGAACGCTGCTGCAAAATACTTTCCGATATAATTATATTTGATTTGATTTTCTCACCGCAAGCAGTTGATCAATGGCTCTGCGTATAGATAGATAGATACATGTGATCAATGGCTCTGCGTATAGATAGATAGATACATGTGATCAATGGCTCTGCGTATAGATAGATAGATACATGTGATCAATGGTTCTGCGTATAGATAGATAGATACATGTGATCAATGGTTCTGCGTATAGATAGATAGATACATGTGATCAATGGTTCTGAGTATAGATAGATAGATACATGTGATCAATGGTTCTGCGTATAGATAGATAGATACATGTGATCAATGGCTCTGCGTATAGATAGATAGATACATGTGATCAATGGCTCTGCGTATAGATAGATAGATAGATAGATCAATACTGTAGATACTTACATACAGAGCATAGATACTGTAGATATAGATAGATACATAGATAGATAGAAACATAGATGGATAAAGTTATAGATAGATGGATGGGAATATTCAAGTTGGTTCTCGGGGAATTCAATAGGAAGAGACCCTTTCTTTGTCCCACAGTGAGGAAATGTCAGTGTTGCGTCACCAGTCACACGTGCATGGAGGTTTTCAGAATTATCTGTTAACGTTTTCATGACAAAAATATTTTATGTCTGTTTTAACGCGTCAAAAAGCGATTGCGATAAACCTGGGTCCGCTTCGCCCTGTCGGTGCTTATTTTCCGATAATGACCTGCCTACTCTACATTATCCCTTACTTATTGGGTATTAACCTCTGATTTATTTAAATCAGTAACAAACCGGTTTGAGGAGAACTGCTCAACCCGGGGCCGTATAGAAATGTGAATCGGGCCACATGTAGCCCCCGGGCCACACTTTGCCCAGGCCTGTCCTTGCACCTATAGAAACTGTGATTCCCTCGGCTTCTTCTCTGACGCCCAAAGCTTGTTTACTCGAGTACATGGCACCGACCGAGGCTTCGAAAACACGGCTGCAGACGCTCTCTCACTAATAGCTCCTGACACTGGTTTTCTGTGGATTTCAAATTGGTTGCAAAGAGCCAAATATTGGGCTGGTCGTATGTGTTTTTCCACTAACTGTGACGTGTGCCTGAAATGCTAATAAGGCCAAAGCGCCACTTGTTTTGAACCGTCTCTCTGTGGTTCAGCTCCTTCATAATAAAGTGCTAGTGCTAGAAGTGCTGGGAGTTGGATGATTTTAAAACATGTAGATACTATGTCTGTTTGATGTTGCTGTGGTTTAATGTCTGTCTGAGTCATGTGTGTGTGTGTGTGTGTGTGTGTGTGTACGTGTGTGTGTGTGTGTTTACTCATAGCGGTTGAGAGTAAATAATAAAAACTAAAAAAGACGACCGCCGTCAAATGAAACTGGAAGCAGAGGTCTGTCGTAATGTGTGTTTCACTCCTGCTTTGATCTAGAGTCCAGGATCGCCCAGACACACACACACCCCACACACCCTCACACAAATACACACACACACACACACACACACACACACACTAAACTCTGTATATTTATAAACTACAGAGTATGAAAAAATTATTTGGGGCAAAAATGTTTGGTTCATACATTTATTTTATTTCCGCTTGAAGTATGATTGACGCATTGTACAGTTATGTGTTGTGTGTGTGTGTGTGTGTAACATATGTGTTGTGTGTGTGTGTGTGTGTGTGTGTGTGTAACATATGTGGTGTGTGTGTGTGTGTGTGTGTGTGTTAACATATGTGGTGTGCACTTGTTTTCAACTCCTGGTGGGTTCCATAACCTGAGATTCCACTCACGTCATGGGGACTGGTTTTACGTGGTGGGGCCCGAACACCGGACCCCACTGGTCCAAGCTTAATAATCAATGGGTAATGCTTTTCTAACGGTCCTTATGCAGTCTCTGTAAAAATATGGAAAGGACCCCTGGAGGTTTACTTTCCTGAAAAAAGTGTGTTATGTGTCGTCGGAACCCTGGTGGTGGGTTGCGGGATATCAAGGAGGGGCACACTGGGGCAATTTCAGTCCAGCAGGCTGGAGCCAATCATGGAGCAGCACAACAGAGGAAATCAGGTGTCAGGCTAGAAAAAGGTGCAAGTGTGTGGTTCATTAGGCTGCAAGAAATCATGGAGGAGCACACTGAAGCGCACGCTTACAAACCACTGGTAAGTGCTGACTACAAGTCATGACTTCAAATTGTTATATAGAATGATTACAAATTATTTGTATGTTGTTTGTGCAGCTTAGTCAAGAGTCCCTAATTGATGAAGTCGACTCAGATTCTGACGATTTAACTGTCAAGAAGAAACCTGTAAAAAAGTATGGAAAAAGAAAAATCAAAAACACTTTTCTTCAAGACTCGGAAAGTGACGAACCAAAGGCAAATAAGATTGTTATCATGCAGCTGCAAAAGAAGAAAAATGGGGGGCGAGTATACAGCAAGAGACACTTCTGCCTCTACTGTTCAATGTCCTGCCACAAAATGTCCCGTCATTTGACTAGAAAACATGGAAATGAAAGTGACGTAGCCAGAGCTTGGCTCTACCTGTGAAATCTAAAGCACGTAAACTTCAGTTTGATTTGATCAGGAATAGTGGAAACCGTGAGCACAATTTTGAGGTTTTAAAGGCCGGCATTGGAACTTTAGTCCCAGCTAAACAGCCAAATTCCCCAGTTAAATCCAGTGAGTTTTTGCACTGTATAGACTGTGGGGCATTGCTTAAGCGAAAGTCGCTGTGGAGGCATGTGGCCAGGTGCCGGCTTTCACAGAAAGATGCCCAGGCTAAACCAGGTAGAAGTAGGGTCCAGTCCCTCTGCTCCCTAGCCCAGCCTGTACCGGAGGGCATCAGCAAAAAGCTGTGGTCTTTAATTTCGGTAATGCATCAGGATGAGGTCACGGGTGTTGTCAAAGCAGAAAAGGGGATTCTGAGACTCGGAGAGCACCTGTACTTAAAACACGGGCATGATAAGACAAAGCATGATTACATTAGGCAGAAAATGAGAGAAGTCGGTAGGTTAATTAACGAAGCAAAAACCGCAGGGAAACTGAAAACAATTAAGGATTTCTTTATTCCTTCCAACTTTAACCATGTGATTGATGCAGTCAGGTCTGTGGCTGGATATGATGAGGAAACAAATCAATACAAGACTCCATCCTTGGCCCTCAAACTCGGCCATAGCCTCAGAAAGCTAGCAGATATTCTTGAATGTGACTCAAAAATGGAGCATTGTGTTGATGAACTATTTATTAAAAACCTCCAACGAAGCCGGCTGCTTTTTGAGAAGAGGTGGGACGTCTGTGTTTCTTCTGCTGCCCTACAGACCCTCCGGCAAGCCAAGTGGAACACTCCGGACCTGCTCCCTCTGACTGAGGACGTTAGAGCCATGCATGCACATATTGAGGTATGTCGACCTGAATATGTGCAAACCCTAATAAGTGAGCCAACGTCTAAGCATTGGTCTAAACTGGCAGTTTTGACTCTTTGTGAGGTCATCATTTTCAATCGAAGAAGGGAAGGTGAGGTTTCAAAGATGCCACTGACAGCCTTTACCTTAAGAAGTAAGACTGGGATCCATTCTGACATTGCTCTGGGACTGTCCCAACTTGAGAAAAAGCTGTGTCAGCATTTTCAACGCATTGAAATTAAAGGGAAAAGAAGTCGGAAAGTGCCGGTTCTTTTGACTCCTGAAATGATTGCTTCGATGGAGGTGCTGGTGGAGAACAGAAGGGCCTGTTCCATCTCTGACCATAACCCATACTTCTTTTCCCGCCCGGGCGCAGACACCCACATCAGGGGATCAGACTCCCTACGCCAGGTAGCCAAAGAATGTGGTGCGGTGCATCCAGAGATGCTATCCTCAACCAAACTTAGAAAGCACATAGCTACTATGTCTACAGTTCTCAATATGAAAGAGAATGAGATGGACATACTTGCCAACTTCCTCGGCCATGACATTCGCATCCACAGGCAATATTACAGACTACCAGAGGGGACACTGGAGCTGGCCAAAATCAGCAAAGTGTTGATGGCCATGGAGCAGGGAAGAGTGACGGAATTCGAAGGAAAGAGCCTCGACCAGATACAAATTGAGCCTGAAGGTAATTCTTGATATTATTAAAATATGTATGATTTTTTTCCCCTAAAGGCCACTTGTATTTTTATTTTCTGTGCGACAGGGAGAGCAGTAGAGATCCTCTCACAAACGGACGGGCTAAAAGAAACTTCAAGCGGAGAACCTTCAACCATTCATCCAGATGCACCCCATGGTAGTGGCAGTGCCCCTTCTGGTAAGTGTACCAGGTGGGGGATTACAGCCAGGCTGCTTGGTCCTCACCCTGGGAGTGTATATTGCTAATATATTTTTATTTCTCTCCCTAGAACGTGTAAGAAAGCCATGGTCTGCATCTGAGGTGAAGGCTGTGGAGAAGACCATGACACCTTTCATACAGACTGGAAAGGTCCCTGGGAAGTCTCACTGCCTGGCCTGGCCTGGCCTGGCCTGCATTAATGCCTCACCAGATGACCTTAGACATCGGACATGGAGTGGCATTAAATTCTATGTCAAAAATAGAATCACTGCAATTCGAAAACAAAATCTAAAATAAAATTCCTTTAAAATAGTTGTTTGGTTTCTATTGACTGTTTTGTATTACTTAAAGTCTTGGTAAAAAAAGATTATGTCTATGGGTCCCATTCTGAACGGCCCTGTCAAAGGGACCCACCAGGTAACAAAAACGTGTATGTGTGTGTGTGTGTGTGTGTGTAACATATGTGGTGTGTGTGTGTGTAACATATGTGTTGTGTGTGTGTGTGTGTGTAACACATGTGTTGTGTGTGTGTGTAACACATGTGTTGTGTTGTGTGTGTGTAACACATGTGTTGTGTGTGTGTGTGTAACACATGTGTTGTGTTGTGTGTGTGTAACACATGTGTTGTGTGTGTGTGTGTAACACATGTGTTGTGTTGTGTGTGTGTAACACATGTGTTGTGTGTGTGTGTGTAACACATGTGTTGTGTTGTGTGTGTGTAACACATGTGTTGTGTGTGTGTGTGTAGACATGTGCCTGAGCTCCTCTGAGGGCTCGGAGGAGGTGCAGTCTCGCTCTAAGCTCCTGTGTCTCCTGGACGCTGTGACGGACGCTCTGGTCTGGGCCATCGGGAAAACTGGCCTCAGCTTCAGGGAGCAGTACACACGCCTGGCCCACCTCCTCATGCTGCTGTCACACATCCGCCACGCCAGGTACACACACACACACACACACACAAACACTAATTTGACCAAAAGCTAGTTGTAGCTAGCACTTCCAAATCCGAGGCCATGGTGCTCGACCCAGAAAAAGGTGCCCTGCCCTCTCCAGGTCCTGGTCCTCTCCAGGTCCTGGTCCTCTCCAGGTCCTGGTCCTCTCCAGGTCCTGGTCCTCTCCAGGTGGGTGGAGAGGTCCTTCCTCAAGTGGAGGAGTTCAAGTATATCAGGGTCTTGTTCGGCGGATCGGTGCAGCGTGCGCAGAGATGCAGTCTCTGTACCGGACCGTTGTGGTGAAGAGGGAGCTGAGCCGAAAGGCAAAGCTCTCGATTTACCGGTCAATCTTCGTTCCCTCCCTCACCTATGGTCATGAGCTTTGGGTAATGACCGAAAGAACGAGATCGCGGATACAAGCGGTCGAAGCTTCCTCCGCAGAGTGGCTGCTCCCTTAGAGATAGGGTGAGGAGCTCGGTCACACGGGAGGAGCTCGGAGTAGAGCCGCTGCTCCTCCACGTCGAGAGGAACCAGTTGAGGTGGCTCGGGCATCCGTACCTGGAACACCTCCCCAGGGAGGAGGCCCCGGGGAAGACCCAGGACACGCTGGAGGGACTATGTCTCTCAGCTGGCCTGGGAACGCCTTGGGGTCCCCCCGGACGAGCTGGAGGAAGTGTGTGTGGATAGGGAAGTCTGGGCGTCTCTGCTTAGACCCCCCGCGACCCGGCAACGGATGAAGTGGAAGAAAATGGATGGATGGATAGAGCTAGCTGCAGCTAACATGCTAACATGGAGTGTCTCGCTCGTATGAAGGCGTGTAAATGGTCAATGCTTTGTATGGATCAAATCTGGATTTACAAAGATCAAAACCCCAGCAGTGATAACTCTGAGAGCAGACAGTAGATGGCAGCATTTGTTCCCGCGACGTTAGCTTCTTGACTGGTTGCTACAACGGTTGCCAAGGCAAGCTGGTGTTTACCTGGTGTGTGGAGTTTGCATGTTCTCCCCGTGTCTGCGTAGGTTTCCTCTAGGTGCTCCGGTTTCTCCTACCACTAAAAACATGTACAATAGGTCTGAATATGGGTGGTGTTGATTTGCTGAGAGAGAATAGAACAATACCTGAACTTTCTGAACTTTGTAAAGTGACCTTGGTCTGTAAAAAGTTCTATATAATTAAAATAACCCTGGTGTTCTCCTGCTGCAGTAACAAAGGCATGGACCACCTCCACTGTATGAAGATGAAGAACATGGTGCCTCTGTACGACCTCCTGCTGGAGATGCTGGACGCACACATCATGCACAACTCCCGCCTGCCCCGCCCCGCCCCCCGCCCGGAGACCCAGGGGCGACCGGCCAGCCCCCCGCCCGCCTCCGCCGCCCCGCCCAGCGCCTCATGGACTCCCAGCGAGGAGGCCATGCACCCCGCAGCAGAGACGATCAAAGCGCCTCAGTGAATCTCACAGAACGTCCGTGTTTTTCGGGGGAAATGTTGTTTTATGTCGTGACTAACAGACAGAACCAAACCTGTGTCGCTGCCTTAGCACCACACGGCCTCAGCAGAGCTAGCCAAACATTTCACCCACATCTCGTTAAAAACATGTCTTTATAGAAACATCGAGGCAGCTACAAAATCACAGCCACGGTTACGGGCGTGAGACGCGGCTTTTCTGCTGGATGTGTTTGAGAATGATGGAATAGAACGAGAATTGGCTCAGATTCAGAAACATTTTGAGTCATTTCTGACCTATTTTTGGATCACTTTTTGTAGTGAGAGACGTCCAAGTGGTCCTCAGAGAGTCTCCAGGTTCAGACTGGACTCACTTGAGGAAATGGGTAGAATCTGGTGTTGCTCCTGCTTGGTTGGAATGAAAACCCGCAGCCACACTGGCCCTCTGAGCCCTGGTTAGATTGTTAGCTACCCTACTCTGCTCTACTCTACTCTACTCTACTCTACTTTACCCTACTCTACTTTACCCTACTCTACTCTACTCTACTCTACTCTACTCTACTCTACTCTACTCTACTCTACTCTACTCTACCCTACTCTGCTCTACTCTACTTTACCCTACTCTACTCTACTCTACTCTACTCTACTCTACTCTACTCTACTCTACTCTACTCTACCCTACCCTACCTTACCCTACTCTACTCTACTCCCAATCAGAGTAGAGTAGAGATGAGCAGATCTAAGTGGAGCTGGTGGAAACGGGGCTAAAGTCACTCTGTGGTTGAGTCAGATCCACACCACTGTCCACATTCCATCCGAAGGGATGACGTTTCCGTGGCGACGAACGTGAGGTTGGGCTCCGTCAGAAAAGCCGCGTCGTACGTCTTTAAATGCCTTTTAAGCTCGTTGGTCTCTCGGCCTCTTGTCTCCCGGACACTAAACTCTCAGTCACACATTGTATTTGAAATGGTGCTTACAGAGGCGTCTGGTGTTCACCGAGATGAGGAAGATTCTGTTTTTATGAGAAAAAAACCCCATTATTATTATTATTATTATTATTGAACTTCATTACAGACAGGAGGTCCAGATAAAAAAGACGTCACAACAAAATGAAAAAATCAAAATTGAGGCTGTATTTTGTAGATAGAGATTTGGCTTTACTCAATACTGACTGACCTTGCTCCTCTTTCCTCCTGCGCTGCGATGCAACACTGACATTTCACTGTGGGACAAACAAAGGAACTCTTCGTCTTAATCTCGTGAGAAAAAGCCACGACTTTCTTCAACCACAAAAGTCAAAAGAAAAGAGCGATTCTTCTCAAGCTTCTCTTGTTCAAACAAAAACACTTTCTGTGAGTGTTCACTGTCGAGGGTCGGTCTGCGATACTTTGATCAAAAACACTTTTTACTCATTAAAACAGGATTTATTTTACTGAATAGAAAGCTGCACAGTGTAGCCTGGTCTTACCGCACCATGGTACTCTTTTCATTTTGTACTGAGCTCTGGATTTGCTCCATTGACTCCGTGAACAGGTGGGCGGGGCTAACTCCTGCAGATTGAAACCATTGGATCTGAGTTTACCGTGACGTTTGTAATGAGCCCGAGTGTGTGAGGCATTTAGCCTAGCTTTAGCATTTAGCCTAGCTTTAGCATTTAGCCTAGCTTTAGCCATCTCCTTTGCTACTAACGGAGCCCGTGGAGAGTGGAGCCACAACATTTTTGCTTCAACGACATTTACTAAACATTTCTCTTGCTTCAATTTCTTGATATTTGGAGCCAAACCAGAACGGATTATTTAACTATCGCGTTCTCCGCCAAACTACAACCAGCAAATTTGGCGCAAACTCTTGACATCACCGACACCTCCCTACAACACCCGCCTCCCCCGCTCTCTGATTGGTCGGAGGGGATTCAACCGAGGAAACTGCAGCCACTAGGATCAGACCCAGACGTACATGTAGGAAATGATCATGGACCAGAGGCTAGCACAGAGTGGCATTAAACTTACTCCTGCAGACACACAGGAGCCATCGCTGGGGGAGTTATTAGTCAGGTTTAAGTTAGAAAGAGGGAGCAGCGTCTGCAGTCAGAGCTCTGTCAGATTTTACTCATAAAAACTCCAACAGAATCTCTCCTCATTAAAGTGAATGCCATTACGCTTCAGCACTTGACGTTGTTTTTACGGATTCACAAATTTCCAAGATGGCCGCCGTCTGCACCAGCTGAGTATAATCTTCATTTTTAGCTTTTTAACTAAACCTTTTGTACCAGATTTTGCCAGTGGGGGGCGCTAACGACACCGTCCTCTTGGTGATCCGCCACATGTGACTTTCTAATCTTCTTCTGTGTATGTTGTTGTTGTTTCTGATGACAAAGTTGCACTCATAATTTGCCTGAACAAAAATATTTTTGTATGAATGTATTTGCTCTCTCTCTGCAGTTGTTGACAATCAGGACAGCTTGCTCTAAACTCCGTAGACCGACTTTAAACGCATCGTTCAAACCCCACTCTCCATTAAACCTTTAGGGCCTTCTCATCACTCGGCTGCAGCTGTGTAAAAGTGAAGCCAATAAGAAAATACTCCTGGTGGATTAGCCCTTTCTCTGGTCTCTCTCTGGTCTCTCTGGTCTCTCTCTGGTCTCTCTCTGGTCTCTCTGGTCTCTCTCTGGTCTCTCTCTGGTCTCTCTCTGGTCTCTCTCTGGTCTCTCTGGTCTCTCTCTGGTCTCTCTCTGGTCTCTCTTTGGTCTCCCTCTCTCTGGTGTCTCTCTCTCTCTGTAGTCTCTCTCTGTGGTCTCTCTCTCTCTGGTCTCTCTCTCTTTGGTCTCCCTCTCTGTGGTCTCTCTCTCTGGTCTCTCTCTCTGGTCTCTTTCTCTGGTCTCTCTCTCTCTGGTCTCTCTCTCTGGTCTCTTTCTCTGGTCTCTTTCTCTCTGGTCTCTCTCTCTCTGGTCTCCCTCTCTGTGGTCTCTCTCTCTGGTCTCTCTCTCTGGTCTCTCTCTCTCTGGTCTCCCTCTACAAATAATTTGTAATCTATCTATATAACAATTTGAAGTCTGTGGTCTCTCTCTGGTCTAGCCTCCCTCTCTGTGGTCTCTCTCTCTGGTCTCTTAACACACTTTTTTCAGGAAAGTAAACCTCCAGGGGTCCTTTCCATATTTTTACAGAGACTGCATAAGGACCGTTAGAAAAGCATTACCCATTGATTATTAAGCTTGGACCAGTGGGGTCCGGTGTTCGGGCCCCACCACGTAAAACCAGTCCCCATGACGTGAGTGGAATCTCAGGTTATGGAACCCACCAGGAGTTGAAAACAAGTGCACACCACATATGTTACACACACACACACACACACACCACATATGTTACACACACACACACACACACACACAAACACATATGTTACACACACACACACACACAACACATAACTGTACAATGCGTCAATCATACTTCAAGCGGAAATAAAATAAATGTATGAACCAAACATTTTTGCCCCAAATAATTTTTTCATACTCTGTAGTTTATAAATATACAGAGTTTAGTGTGTGTGTGTGTGTGTGTGTGTGTGTGTGTATTTGTGTGAGGGTGTGTGGGTGTGTGTGTGTCTGGGCGATCCTGGACTCTAGATCAAAGCAGGAGTGAAACACACATTACGACAGACCTCTGCTTCCAGTTTCATTTGACGGCGGTCGTCTTTTTTAGTTTTTATTATTTACTCTCAACCGCTATGAGTAAACACACACACACACACACGTACACACACACACACACACACACACACACATGACTCAGACAGACATTAAACCACAGCAACATCAAACAGACATAGTATCTACATGTTTTAAAATCATCCAACTCCCAGCACTTCTAGCACTAGCACTTTATTATGAAGGAGCTGAACCACAGAGAGACGGTTCAAAACAAGTGGCGCTTTGGCCTTATTAGCATTTCAGGCACACGTCACAGTTAGTGGAAAAACACATACGACCAGCCCAATATTTGGCTCTTTGCAACCAATTTGAAATCCACAGAAAACCAGTGTCAGGAGCTATTAGTGAGAGAGCGTCTGCAGCCGTGTTTTCGAAGCCTCGGTCGGTGCCATGTACTCGAGTAAACAAGCTTTGGGCGTCAGAGAAGAAGCCGAGGGAATCACAGTTTCTATAGGTGCAAGGACAGGCCTGGGCAAAGTGTGGCCCGGGGGCTACATGTGGCCCGATTCACATTTCTATACGGCCCCGGGTTGAGCAGTTCTCCTCAAACCGGTTTGTTACTGATTTAAATAAATCAGAGGTTAATACCCAATAAGTAAGGGATAATGTAGAGTAGGCAGGTCATTATCGGAAAATAAGCACCGACAGGGCGAAGCGGACCCAGGTTTATCGCAATCGCTTTTTGACGCGTTAAAACAGACATAAAATATTTTTGTCATGAAAACGTTAACAGATAATTCTGAAAACCTCCATGCACGTGTGACTGGTGACGCAACACTGACATTTCCTCACTGTGGGACAAAGAAAGGGTCTCTTCCTATTGAATTCCCCGAGAACCAACTTGAATATTCCCATCCATCTATCTATAACTTTATCCATCTATGTTTCTATCTATCTATGTATCTATCTATATCTACAGTATCTATGCTCTGTATGTAAGTATCTACAGTATTGATCTATCTATCTATCTATCTATACGCAGAGCCATTGATCACATGTATCTATCTATCTATACGCAGAGCCATTGATCACATGTATCTATCTATCTATACGCAGAACCATTGATCACATGTATCTATCTATCTATACTCAGAACCATTGATCACATGTATCTATCTATCTATACGCAGAACCATTGATCACATGTATCTATCTATCTATACGCAGAACCATTGATCACATGTATCTATCTATCTATACGCAGAGCCATTGATCACATGTATCTATCTATCTATACGCAGAGCCATTGATCACATGTATCTATCTATCTATACGCAGAGCCATTGATCAACTGCTTGCGGTGAGAAAATCAAATCAAATATAATTATATCGGAAAGTATTTTGCAGCAGCGTTCGAAGAGGCCTCGGAGAAGTACAGTTGTATAAAAGGCAGTAATGGACCTGAGCGCGGCCACCTGCTCCTCGTACTCTTAGTAATAAGAAATAAATGTCTGTAGAGTGGAGCTCATTAGGGCTCGTCCTGGTCCTACCCTCTGTGCCTACTTCATTCTCAGGTTATTGCAGTTTACAAAAGCTCCGTGGAGAGGAGTTTTCAAAGGACCAGAGCCAAACAAGTTACCAAATACAGCCTAATGGGAACACTGTGTATTTCTCATCTCTCTATCTCTGCGTGTGCCTCCTGCAGCTTCAGAGAGGCAGCGAGATCTCACGCTCGTGCTGCGGCTGCTCCTGGACTAATGGAAACACAAAAAATATATGGGTTTCAAGCTGGAGTAAAGAGGAAACCAGGAAAAATCTGGTTCCTGGCTCTGGGAACAGTTTGCTTCTATACATAGACTGTGTACAGATCATAGACTGTAAATATTATCTGACGTATTCACGCCTGTCTTCGCCGTTCAAAGAAATGGGCCAGAGAAGAGAGAATGGGAAAGGAAAGGAAAAAAAAAAAAAAAAAAAAAATAGAGGTTTTGTATATATATATATATATATTTTAATTGTCTTTGTTTTTTTTTGTTTTTTTCTATTATAAAAATATAAAGTAAATAATAAGTAACACACAGACACACACACACACACACACACACACACACGCACAAACATGGAAGACCCCCCCCCTCCCCCCCCCCCCATGTATGTATGTTCAAGTTGTTTTGTTTAAAAAAAATAAAATAAAAAAATGAGCCAAAAATTGGGCTTTCATGGGGCGTTTCAAAAATATCTGCGAATGCGTCAGCTGCACGAGCTCCATTCATTTGAACGAGTGACTTCAGAAATTCACAGAGATTAAACTAAAGTGGTCCAAAAAAATCCACCCCCCTCAGCATTGACACACGTGTGGAAAAGAGCTTTGGGCCAAGAGCCAACTTTTGGACCATCCTGTAAAGACGTTTTCGAGAGGTCAGCTAATGCTATATGTTAGCATTGGTTAATTCTTATTCCGGGTCCACCCACATCGGCCCGGGGTGGTAGTGCAGCATGTCAGCGCACGTCAATGTGGCCGTTTTTGAGCCTTGACTCCCCCCCACTGGTACAGATGGACGGTACTAATCCGCTAGCTCAGGGAAGACAAGGAAGTGCTATTGGACAAAGTTTGGCTAAGACTCTCTGTGGCTCAGAGCGTATACACTCCAACAACCATTAAACATTAGCAAAACAGACAAACAGACAATTACCTTTATCTAGTGTTAACTAGTGCACTGCAGTGATTGGTTCAGGGGACTCTCTCATGGTTCCCTCTGGTCTCTATGGTTTCTCTCTGGTCTCTCTCTCTCTGGTCTCTCTCTCTGGTCGCTCAGGTCTCTCTCTCTGGTCTCTCTCTCTGCTCTCTCTGGTCTCTCTGGTCTCTCTGCTCTCTCTCTCTGACCTCTCTACACCTATTGTAAGTAGTAAGTAAGTAAGTTTTTATTTATATACCGCCTTTTCACTGCAGATCTGAGTCTCAAAGCGGTTTACAATTGTTAATTTTGGGCATTTGTCTCTCACTCCACACAGAGATGGAGCGGGGCCAGTACAGGAGGCACATGCCAGAACTATTGGACATATTTTTAGTGGTAGGGGAAACCGGAGTACCCGGGGGAAACCTACGCAGACACGGGGAGAACATGCAAACTCCACTCAGAAAGGCCCTGGTCCGACCGGGATTCGAACCCAGGACCTTCTTGCTGAGAGGCGAGAGTGCTATCCACTCAGCCACCATGCCCTTGCCTTTTGGTCCATTACAGATATCTTTAAATGTCCTTTTACGGTTTCTCTCCCAGTAAAAACACAGCCGTGCAGTGGAATATTTGGAGAGATCTACTTTGTCTCGGTCCCGTGTGTGTCTCTCTGACAGGACTCACTGGAGTTGAGCAGGATCATGGCCTTGAGGCAGACGTACTCCTCTCTCTGCAGCTTCAGCTCTCGCACTCGGGACGTGGCAGCGACCAACATGTCGAAGATCTCCACAAAGCCCTGCACACAGTTGCTCTCCTCCCTGTGGACGACACCAGGAAACAATACCAGCAAACTCTGTCACTCTGAGAACACGACTGTACAGACGTGTCATTAAGCAGCAATCGCTTCTTCACACTTTTGTCTTTTTGTAAGGAACTTTCGAAGCCACAGTTGTCAAACACAAGGTCTGAATACAGCCTACCAGTTGGTCTCTCTCTGGTCTCTCTTTGGTCTCTCTCTGGTCTCTCTTTGGTCTCTCTCTGGTCTCTCTCTGGTCTCTCTCTGGTCTCTCTTTGGTCTCTCTCTGGTCTCTTTCTGGTCTCTTTCTGGTCTCTCTCTGGTCTCTTTCTGGTCTCTTTCTGGTCTCTTTCTGGTCTCTTTCTTGTCTTTCTCAGGTTTCTTTCTGGTCTCTCTCTGGCCTCTCTTTGGTCTCTCTCTGTCTAGTCTCTCTGGTCTCCCTCTGGTCTCCCTCTGGTCTCCCTCTGGTCTCCCTCTGGTCTCCCTCTGGTCTCTATCTGGTCTCTATCTCTCTGGTCTCTCTCTCTCTGGTCTCTCTCTCTCTGGTCTCTCCCTGCTCCCTCTCGTCTCATTCACCCCCCCAACCATATTGACTTTCACAGTCCTGTTCTAATCCATAAATATGTATCTAGGTTATAAATGTATGGGACCAAAAGCAGACCACAGAATAGAGGCGGTTGCCGTGGTTACCTGCTGAGGCTGAGGTCGGGGGAGAAGATGAGTTTCCCTGGATGCTCCACGGACCTCCACATCAGGCCGATCATCAGCACCTCCAACCAGCAGCACTCCAGCAGGTGAACCTGGTCCACCAGGATCAGGTCCACGAAGCCTGAGGGAGACACAGGACATGGCAGAGGAGCTCGGGGTAGACCTGCTGCTCCGGGTATCTCTGCTCAGAGTGGTGCCCTCTGTCAAATACAGTGCTCCTTCGCTAGTCTCGTTCTGGTCGTTCTCTGGTCTCTCTCCATGGTCTCTCTCTGGTCTCTCTGTGGTCTCTCTCTGGTCTCTCTCTGGGGTCTCTCTCTCTGGTCTCTCTCTCTGGTCTCTCTCTGGGTTCTCTCTCTGGTCCCTCTATGGTCTCTCTCTGGTCTCCCTCTGGTCTCCCTCTGGTCTCTCGCTCTGGTCTCGCTCTGGTCTCTCTCTGGTCTCTCTCTCTGGTCTCTCTCTCTGGTCTCTGTCTCTGGTCTCTGTCTCTGGTCTCTTTCTCTGGTCTCTCTCTGGTCTCTCTCTGGTCTCTCTCTGGTCTCTCTCTGGTCTCTCTCTGGTCTCTCTCTGGTCTCTCTCTCTGGTCTCTCTCTCTGGTCTCTGTCTCTGGTCTCTGTCTCTGGTCTCTCTCTGGTCTCTCTCTGGTCTCTCTCTGGTCTCTCTCTGGTCTCTCTCTGGTCTCTCTCTGGTGGTCTCTCTCTGGTCTCTCTCTCTGGTCTCTCTCTCTGGTCTCTCTCTGGTCTCTCTCTGGTCTCTCTCTGGTCTCTCTCTCTGGTCTCTGTCTCTGGTCTCTGTCTCTGGTCTCTCTGTCTGGTCTCTCTCTGGTCTCTGGTCTCTCTCTGGTCTCTCTCTCTGGTCTCTCTCTGGTCTCTCTCTCTGGTCTCTGTCTCTGGTCTCTGTCTCTGGTCTCTCTCTGGTCTCTCTCTGGTCTCTCTCTGGTCTCTCTCTGGTCTCTCTCTGGTCTCTCTCTGGTCTCTCTCTCTGGTCTCTGTCTCTGGTCTCTCTCTGGTCTCTCTCTCTGGTCTCTCTCTGGTCACCCTCTGGTCTCCCTCTGGTCTCTCTCTCTGGTCTCTCTCTGGTCTCTCTCTCTGGTCTCTCTCTCTGGTCTCTCTCTCTGGTCTCTCTCTCTGGTCTCTCTCTCTGGTCTCTCTCTCTGGTCTCTCTCTCTGGTCTCTGTCTCTGGTCTCTGTCTCTGGTCTCTGTCTCTGGTCTCTCTCTGGTCTCTCTCTGGTCTCTCTCTGGTCTCTCTCTGGTCTCTCCCTGGTCTCTCTCTGGTCTCTCTCTGGTCTCTCTCTGGTCTCTCTCTGGTCTCTCTCTCTGGTCTCTGTCTCTGGTCTCTCTCTCTGGTCTCTCTCTGGTCTCTCTCTGGTCTCTCTCTGGTCTCTGGTCTCTCTCTGGTCTCTCTCTGGTCTCTCTCTCTGGTCTCTGTCTCTGGTCTCTCTCTGGTCTCTCTCTGGTCTCTCTCTGGTCTCTCTCTGGTCTCTCTCTGGTCTCTCTCTGGTCTCTCTCTGGTCTCTCTCTGGTCTCTCTCCGGTCTCTCTCTGGTCTCTCTCTGGTCTCTCTCTGGTCTCTCTCTGGTCTCTCTCTCTGGTCTCTCTCTCTGGTCTCTCTCTGGTCTCTCTCTCTGGTCTCTCTCTGGTCTCTCTTTGGTCTCTGTGGTCTTTCTCTGGTCTCTCTCTGGTCTTTCTCTGGTCTCTCTCTGGTCTCTCTCTGGTCTCTCTCTGGTCTCTCTCTGGTCTCTCTCTGGTGTTTTCAGTAGTAAATCGTGGATTTGTTTTTTATACAATCATTAATGATATAATTGCTCATTGTTTTGTGTTTTGGTCTTTCCTTTGTTTGCACCTTTTACTTCGGCTCCAATCAAAACTGGGAGTGGTTTTTGAGGCCGAGTCAAAAGAGTCCACTTTTGAGAGAATTACATTTTTAGTTTTGTTCCTAATGGAAGCTGATAATTGCTGCACAAAACTGTTGAACCATTTTGTTCCTGACCATCCCGACCTTTTCTCTCCGAGCGTTCTGAGTTCACCAGAGCCGGCGATAAGCGCTGACATAATGCTATTACTGAGAATCTACTTGTTTTCTGTTTTAGCTCCGAGAAAAGGAGGTGTCGAGATTTTTGGAAAAACATTACGTGGAGGTCATGGTCAGTGGTTATAGTTACAGTCTGAGTCTGTGAAGAGTCGATAGTATCGTGATATTTGGGCCAGAATTCAATATTATTGTGATTATTAACGTATCGTGATACAGACAGTTTGATTCTGTGATATATTGTTATTATTGTCCTTCATATCATTAAAGACTACAAACATGGTGGAAAATAAGACTCTTGTCTCTGTGACATTTATTATTGATGGAAATGAGGAAACTCAGTGAACACGAGTGAATCAGATAATTATTTAATTAAATATTTAAATACTTTGTTCCACTGTGTCAAATAAATCGCCTGCGCAAAACTTTAAAGCGGCGCTGTTTGTTACAAGTCTCTCCATGGCCTCGCACCAAAGTACATCTGTGACATGTTAGAACCAACTCTGAGGAGCACAGGGACTGGCTCCCTGCTGGGACTCTGAGGAGCACAGGGACTGGCTCCCTGCTGGGACTCTGAGGAGCACATGGACTGGCCTCCTGCTGGGTCTCTGAGGAGCACAGGGACTGGCCTTCTGCTGGTCCCAGAGTCAGGACTAAACATGAGGAGGCAGCCTTACAGATTGATGACACTAAAACCTGGTCTTCCTGAAAATATGAGACAGGCTTCTTCTCTGACAATGTTCAATCAAACAACTGAAGGATTTTATCTTCACTGTTTTGAATCCACTGTGATTATTTACGTCCTGACTGCCTGACCTGTGCCATACAAATAACCATGGCTTGCCTCTGCGCGGTACAGTCGGTGTCTACAGTATCTCCACACACACATCTGAAGGCCATCTGAGGGAACACGTCAGAGGACTGTACTACTTCGGAATGCTAAAACATCTGCTTGTTCGGGAATTTGCTTTTGGACGTCTGCTTGTTGTTATTGCTCCTCGGATTCTTGCAGCTTTAAGCCAATAGTTTTTCCTCACGGACAGGTTTTGATAAAGTGCTAAATTGTGCCTGAAAAATGTCACGGTTGAGTTCAGGTTGCACCGAAAGTGAATGGATAAAACACACGCCCTGATCCGAGTCTGCACAACTGTCACACCGAAGACCGATGAGAGTGAAAACCTGCTGATCGTACACGCGAAACAGTCTGAGTAACTTTAGTCTGTAGTCTGTTCCTTGCTATTCACCTGTTGTCCCATGGTCTGACCTGGATCTACAGCCTCAGTCCTGGATCTGAGATGTGTGACATCATCGAGGAGAAAGCACATATTGTCAACCTCTGCTGTGTCTCTGCTCCCTCTGTGGTCTCCCTCTGGTCTCCCTCTGGTCTCCCTCTGGTCTCTCTCTGGTCTCTCTCTGGTCTCTCTCTGGTCTCTCTCTGGTCTCTCTCTGGTCTCTCTCTGGTCTCTCTCTGTCCTCTCTCTGGTCTCTCTCTGGTCTCTCTCTGGTCTCTCTCTGGTCTCCCTCTGGTCTCCCTCAGGTCTCTCTCTGATCTCTCTGTGGTCTCCCTCTGTGTTCTCCCTCTGTGGTCTCTCTCGAGTCTCTCTCTGGTGTCTCTCTCTGGTCTCTCTCTGGTCTCGCTCTCTGGTATCTTTCTGGTCTCTCTCTCTGGTCTCTCTCTCTCTGGTCTCTCTCTCTGGTCTCTCTCTGGTCTCTCTCTGGTCTCTCTCTCTGGTCTCTCTCTCTGGTCTCTCTCTCTGGTCTCTCTCTCTGGTCTCTCTCTCTGGTCTCTCTCTCTGGTCTCTCTCTCTGGTCTCTCTCTGGTCACTCTCTCTGGTCTCTCTCTCTGGTCTCTCTCTCTGGTCTCTCTCTCTGGTCTCTCTCTCTGGTATCTCTCTCTGGTCACTCTCTCTGGTATCTCTCTCTGGTATCTCTCTCTGCTCTCTCTCTGGTCTCTCTCTGATCTCTCTCTGGTCCCATAGCCCTCATTCCTGCTCCTGTCCCTCAGTGTCCTCTGCAGTTGTATTTTATAGTGTATGCACGGCTTTAGACAGCTGCAGCAGCGCTCAACCCTACAGGTTGGATGTCTCTGGTTTCTCTCTGGTCTCTCTCTGGTCTTTCTCTCTTGTCTCTCTCTGGTCTCTCTCTCTGGGCACACTCTGGTCTCTCTCTCTGGTCTCTCTCTGGTCTCTCTTTCTGGTCTCTCTCTGGTCTCTTTCTGGTCTCTTTCTGGTCTCTCTCTGGTCTCTCTCTGGTCTCTCTCTGGTCTCTCTCTGGTCTCTCTCCCTGGTTTCTCTCTCTGGTCTCTCTCTGGTCTCTCTCTGGTCTCTCTCCCTGGTTTCTCTCTCTGGGCTCTCTCTGGTCTCTCTCTGGTCTCTCTCTGGTCTCTCTCTGGTCTCTCTCCCTGGTTTCTCTCTCTGGTCTCTCTCTCTGGTCTCTCTCCCTGGTTTCTCTCTCTGGTCTCTCTCTGGTCTCTCTCTGGTCTCTCTCCCTGGTTTCTCTCTCTGGTCTCTCTCTGGTCTCTCTCTGGTCTCTCTCTGGTCTCTCTTTCTGGTCTCTCTCTCTGGTCTCTCTCTGGTCTCTCTCTCTGGTCTCTCTCTCTGGTCTCTCTCTGGTCTCTCTCTGGTCTCTCTCTGGTCTCTCTCTAGTCTCTTGTGTATAGTGTATAAAGTGTGAGGATTTACCTAATTGTGATTTATTTTGAGAACACATCCCCCCTGTCATAAACCTAGTGTACTGGACTAGTGTACATAAATAAATCGGACCCAGCCATCAGTAACATAACGTGCACAGACCTGGGATCTTCTTGGCCCATGTGATCATGTGGACCAGCTCCTTGTCGGCCAAGTTGGTGAGTGACATCATCACGTTGGCTTCGGTCAGAGGTCTCTTCATGTCCTTCATGAGGTAGATCTCTGGTGGCTCTGCCTCCATAATCCGACCAATCAGCTGCTCCGGTGTGAGGGTGGGGGGGCGTGCCTCCGGCAGTGGGACCACCGAGGGGACCGGGATCAGCCTGGAGACCGCTCCCCGGCCCTGGGTCGAAAGACGGGTCATCCTCCGGGACGCCTGGGCCGAGCGCAGGGGGCCTCTCTCCTTACGCATACCTGAGGGAGAGGAGAGGGAGAGGAGAGGGTGAGGCGGGGGGGAGAGGAGAGGTGAGGGAGGGGTAGAGGAGCGGGTGAGGCAGGGAGAGGAAGGGGGGATAGGAGAGGGTGAGGCAGGAGAGAGAAGAGAGGGTGAGGCAGGGAGGAGAGGGTGAGGCAGGGGGGAGAGAAGAGGGTGAGGCAGGGGGAGAGGAAAGGTGAGGGAGCGGGGAGAGGTGAGGGTGAGGCAGGGGGAGAGGAGAGGTGAGTGAGGGGGGAGAGAAGAGGGTGAAGCATGACGAAAGGAGAGGTGAGGCAGGGGGGAGAGGAGAGGGTGAGTCAGGGGGAGAGGAGAGATGGCGCAGGGGGAGAGGAGAGGGTGAGGTAGGGGGGAGAGGAGAGATGACGCAGGGGGAGAGGAGAGGGTGAGGTAGGGGGGAGAGGAGAGATGAGGCAGGGGGGAGAGGAGAGGGTGAGGATGGGGGGAGAAGAGAGGGTCAGGGGGAGAGGAGAGGGTGAGGGAGGGTGAAAGCAGTCATTGCTGTTGAACATACAGGAGAAAGGAGAGAGGGTGAGGCAGGGGAAAGGAGAGGGTGAGGCAGGGGGAGAGGAGAGGTGAGGCAGGGGAGAGGAGAGGGTGAGGCAGGGGAGAGAGGAGAGGGTGAGGCAGGGGAGAGAGGAGAGGGTGAGGCAGGGGAGAGAGGAGAGGGTGAGGCAGGGGGAGAGGAGAGGGTGGGTCAGGGTGAGGCAGGGGGAGAGGAGAGGGTGAGGCAGGGGAGAGAGGAGAGGGGGAGGCAGGGGGAGAGGAGAGGGTGAGGGAGGGTGAAAGCAGTCATTGCTGTTGAACATACAGGAGAAAGGAGAGAGGGGTGAGGCAGGGGGAGAGGAGAGGTGAGGCAGGGGAAAGGAGAGGGTGAGGCAGGGGAAAGGAGAGGGTGAGGCAGGGGAGAGGAGAGGGGGAGGCAGGGGAGAGAGGAGAGGGTGAGGCAGGGGAGAGAGGAGAGGGTGAGGCAGGGGGAGAGGAGAGGGTGAGGCAGGGGAGAGAGGAGAGGGTGAGGCAGGGGAGAGAGGAGAGGGTGAGGCAGGGGGAGAGGAGAGGGTGAGGCAGGGGAGAGAGGAGAGGGTGAGGCAGGGGGAGAGGAGAGGGTGGGTCAGGGTGAGGCAGGGGGAGAGGAGAGGGTGGGTCAGGGTGAGGCAGGGGGAGAGGAGAGGGTGGGTCAGGGTGAGGCAGGGGGAGAGGAGAGGGTGAGGGACGGTGAAGGCAGTCATTGGTGTTGAACATACAGGAGAAATAGGAGAGAGGGTGAGGCAGGGTGAGTCAGGGGGGAGAGGAGCGGGTGAGTCAAGGAGAAGGCAGTCCCTGGAGCTGGACGTACCGCACTTGGTCATGCCCACTTCGTAGCACTTGCGCAGGCGACAGGCCTGGCAGCTCTTGCGGCGGTTCTTGTCGATGGTGCACTGGTTTGTGGCTGGACAGATGTAGTCGTTGTGTCCTGAGGAGAAGAAGAAGCGTCAATGGTTTTCATGGTGTCGTCTGAATTCTATCTCTACGTTTTACCAGTTTAGAGTTTAAAGTCTATCATATCTTCCTTCAATCAATCAATCAACTTTATTTGTATGGCGCCTTTCCAACACAAGGCCACTCAAAGCGCCTCACAACCCACATAATATCAGACAAATCAGAAACATCAAAAACGACATATACAAACAATAAATACATTAAAAACAGAACAAAAATCACAAGTAATGAAATATCTTATCCACCAGGCAAGTCAAACTCAGGCTCGGGGGCCAAATCTGTCCCGCAAGACCATTCTTAGAGGCCCCTAATATGGTTTTCAAATATTATTATTAACTTGATGGTTAATAAAAATCTGTTATAAAATATTATAAAATCCGTTCTGATTTGAATGCGCTGGAAAACGGCAGCACTGAAGAACTATCAGGGTATATTTTTTTATTCTAACTTTTTAACCCAACACATCATTACAAGTTAAATAGTTGAATTTAAAACTTTACATTTTGTCCAGTTTTGGTTCAATCTAAACACCAGACACCTCGCTCCCGTCTCTGTGTGGAGTGAGAGACAAAAGCCCACAACAATCATAAACCCTTTTGTGACTCTGCTCTGTGAGAGGCGGCATGTGAATACAGATTACTTATTTACTTATTTGTTTTCAGAAAAATCAACCAGAGAATAATAGTGAAACTCACACACAAGTAATGTCAAAATACCTTCTTTTCTTTCGGCCCCCGACCAGTTCCTATTGTTTTTATTCGGCCCCTGACCAAAATGAGTTTGACACCCCTGTTGTACACAGTTATTGGGCGCTCATCTGTGTCTGTGGTCTCTCTCTCTGTCTCTCTGGTCTCTCTCTGTCTCTCTCTGTCTCTCTGGTCTCTCTCTGTCTCTCTCTGTCTCTCTGGTCTCTCTCTGTCTCTCTGGTCTCTCTCTGTCTCTCTGGTCTCTCTCTGGTCTCTCTCTGGTCTCTCTCTGGTCTCTCTCTGGTCTCTCTCTGGTCTCTCTCTGGTCTCTCTCTGGTCTTTCTCTGGTCTTTCTCTGGTCTTTCTCTGGTCTTTCTCTGGTCTTTCTCTGGTCTCTCTCTAGTTTCTCGCTAGTTTCTCTCTGGTCTCTCTCTATGGTCTCTCTCTCTGGTCTCTCTCTGGTCTCTCTCTATGGTCTCTCTGGTCTCTCTCTATGGTCTCTCTCTATGGTCTCTCTCTGGTCTCTCTCTGGTCTCTCTCTGGTCTTTCTCTGGTCTCTCTCTAGTTTCTCGCTAGTTTCTCTCTGGTCTCTCTCTATGGTCTCTCTGGTCTCTCTCTATGGTCTCTCTCTGGTCTCTCTCTGGTCTCTCTCTATGGTCTCTCTCTGGTCTCTCTCTGGTCTCTCTCTATGGTCTCTTTCTAGTCTCTCTCTGGTTTCTCTCTGGTCTCTCTAGTCTCTCTCTAGTCTCTCTCTGGTCTCTCTCTCTGGGTTCTCTCTGGTCTCTCTCTCTCTCTACTTTTTGTATAATTACTCTCACTATTTCCTTGTTATTTGCTTTATTTTTAAGTCACTTCATTTTGCAGTCCTTCATTTTGGATTCTTTCCTCTCTGAGAACCTGTTTGAGACCCGGGCTTTGGCCTCTGACCTTGGATGCTCCTCTTGAAGAAGGCCTTGCAGCCCTCGCAGGACCAGACGCCGTAGTGATACCCTGAGGCGTAGTCGTGGCACACGGCGCAGTAGTGCAGATCCGATTTGGCACCAGATGACACCACACCATCGTCACTCTCCTGGGACCGCCTCCTCTTACTGTGTGAGAAACATGCTCAAGTTTAGAGTAGAGTAGAGTAGAGTAGAAGAAGGTAGGGCCAAATAGGGATAGTAAAAATGGAGCTTAACTTTCTCTCTCTGGTCCAGTCTCTCTCTCTGGTCTCTCTCTAGTCTCTCACTGGACTCTCTCTGTAGTCTCTCTCTATCTGGTCTCTCTCTTTGGCTTCTCTCTGGTCTCTCGCTCTCCCTAATCTCTCTCTGGTGCCTCTAACTGGTCTCTGTCTCTGGCCTCTCTCTCTGGCCTCTCTCTGGTCTCTCTCTCTCTGTAGTCTCTCTCTCTGGTCTCTCTCTCTGGCCTATCTCTCTGGATTCTCTCTCTGGTCTCTCTTTCTAGTCTCTCTCTCTAGTCTCTCTCTCTCTGGTCTCTCTCTGGTCTTTCTCTTTCTGGTCTCTCTCTGGTCTCTCTCTGGCTTCTCTCTCTCTCTGGCCTATCTCTCTGGATTCTCTCTCTGGTCTCTCTTTCTAGTCTCTCTCTCTAGTCTCTCTCTCTCTGGCCTTTCTCTGGTCTCTCTCTTTCTGGTCTCTCTCTGGCTTCTCTCTCTCTCTGGTCTCTCGCTGGTCTCTCTCTCTCTGGCCTCTCTCTGGTCTCTCTCTCACAACACAACACAATCAACTATTAGTCAATAAACCTTACCATGTCATGAGGACGCTATCTCTGGGCTGGATCTCCACCCAGGGACTGGGCGTGGGCTGGGTCTGGACCGGCCTGGCCTGGGACCGGTGCAGGGGTAAGGGGGACCCCACATGTCGGGGCAGGAACAGGGAGGGACTGAGGCTCTGGTGCACGCTGGAGCACTCGGGTAGACCTGCTCCGTTGTAGCTGAAGATGGTGGGGTTGTAGAAGGGCAGAGGGCCGTAGTCTTGGGCCAGCTCAGTGTAGGGGGAGGGGATGTAGATCGGCGCCCCCCCCTCGATGGACAGGGCGGGGCTTGAGGGTCCTAGGATGGGGGAGAGGACTCGGTTCGCTGCCCGGCTAGAGTCTACCTCCTGGAGCTGCAGCAGAGGCTTGTCCTTCTCTAGAGCGGCGGCGGCGGCCATGACAGTTGGATCTACGGCTCTATGTGTTTAATATCATTGCATTTCCTGTGTTTCAACCTGTATTTGATTCTCTGATCTGTGTTGGCTAATCGGCAGTCCTCTGAATTGAGTTGAGCTCTCAGTACACTACATTATGGGCCCCTGAGATTGACTGAGAAAGTTTTACTGGGATGAGTCTCCAGCAACAACTCTAATCTGTGATGTGTAGATGATCAGATCTACATTAAAACTACAAAACGTACTTAGCTTTGTAGTTTAGTGTATGTGTTTATGCTAATGCTAGTGCTAGTGCTGCATGCTAGTAGTGTGAGTGAATCTCCGTGAAATGATGCAGATTTGATTGGCTTGATTTTCGGCTGCTAATTTTTCACAACAGCAGAAGAAGACGAAGAAGCTACAGACTCAGTGAGAGATGGAGTTTTCTGCCCTCGTCAAAGGGCAACAGTCATTGGACAGCTCTGTGGGGAGCTCGAAAGAGTCTGAAAGAGAAAGTGAAAGTATTTTAAAACCTGAAAACTGAAACATGGTTGGCATTTTAGAACAGTTACAACTTGTGATTTATAAAAGTGTCTGAATACTTTATGCACAGCAGTGGTCCCTCACTATGATGCGGCCCATCATTTGCGGTCCTGCTCTCTCCTCTCCTGATATCTCTCTCTGGTCTCTCACTCTGGTCTCTCTCTGGTCTCAGTCTGGTCTTTCTCTGGTCTCTCTCTGGTCTCAGTCTGGTCTTTCTCTGGTCTTTCTCTGGTCTCTCTCTAGTCTCTCTCTGGTCTCAGTCTGGTCTTTCTCTGGTCTCTTTCTCTTGTCTCTCACTCTGGTCTTTCTCTGGTCTCTCAGGTCTCTTCCTGGTTTCTCTCTCTTGTCTCTCACTCGGGTCTCTCTCTGGCTTCTCTCTCTGGTCTCTCTCTTTAGTCTCTCTCTCTTTAGTCTCTCGCTAGTCTCTCTCTCTTTAGTCTCTTGCTGGTCTCTCTCTGGCTTCTCTCTCTGGTCTTTCTCTCTTTAGTTTCTCTCTGGTCTCTCTCTCTCTTTAGTCTCTCTCTCTCCCTTTAGTCTCTCTCTGGTCTCTCTCTCTTTAGTCTCTCTCTCTCTCTTTAGTCTCTCTCTGGTCTCTCTTCTGCTCCTGAATCAGCCAGATTTTAAACAGAACCCAAACTCTATGAAAGCAGTGACAGCGCCTCAAAGTAACTCAGTCCGAATGATTGTAACTCGTGATCCGTGAAACATTAACATCAGAGTAACTTTCTAAAAACACCATTTGAAAAGAGGCGTTCCTGCCCCACACGTTGAGACGCACAGCTTTGGCTCCGGACCACATTTTCTTTTATCCGTTTAAATTATGCAGGAATCCCGCTGGCAGCAACGGCTTAATCCTCAGACTGACAGTAAAGACCCGGAGCCACAGGTACAGTGCGGATTAATCATTCAAATGAAGGAAATCTGCCAAAACGAACAAACGGTTTTATTAGATTAAATAAAACTGAAGACTTTGTGATATTTGTGCAGCCGTGACAGTGACTGGAGGAAAGTGAGCTGCATTTATTAATAAAACGTTCAGTGCCGCGTTAGAGTCAGAGTCAGAGTCAGAGTCAGAGCCAGAGCCAGAGCCAGAGCCAGAGCCAGAGCCAGAGCCAGAGCCAGAGTAAGAGCCAGAGCCAGAGCCAGAGCCAGAGCCAGAGCCAGAGTCAGAGCCAGAGTCAGAGCCAGAGCCAGAGCCAGAGTCAGAGTCAGAGCCAGAGCCAGAGCCAGAGCCAGAGTCAGAGTCAGAGCCAGAGTCAGAGTCAGAGCCAGAGCCAGAGTCAGAGTCAGAGCCAGAGTCAGAGTCAGAGCCAGAGTCAGAGCCAGAGACAGAGTCAGAGTCAGAGCCAGAGTCAGAGCCAGAGCCAGAACCAGAACCAGAGTCAGAGCCAGAGACAGAGTCAGAGTCAGAGCCAGAGTCAGAGCCAGAGTCAGAGCCAGAGTCAGAGTCAGAGCCAGAGCCAGAGCCAGAGTCAGAGTCAGAGCCAGAGTCAGAGTCAGAGCCAGAGTCAGAGCCAGAGACAGAGTCAGAGTCAGAGCCAGAGTCTGAGCCAGAGCCAGAACCAGAGTCAGAGCCAGAGACAGAGTCAGAGTCAGAGCCAGAGTCAGAGTCAGAGCCAGAGCCAGAGTCTGAGGCAAACGGGTCTTCACTCTAAACTTTACGAGACGCTAAACATAGATCAAACATTTAAACAGCTGCAGAACAGATCAATGGTGCGAGAGCGAATGCTTCTGGAACGTGGTCCGCAGCTGACAGGAAGCGGAAACAGCAACCAGGAAGAGGAAAATAAATAAGTGTGATGTCGCGTTCTAGAGTGTTCTAGAGTCTGACAACACGTTCTAGAATGTGACGTGAAAATATCTGGAAATTTGATCAAAAAGTGTAAAAATCTTAAGTTTTAAATGTATTTTTTTCTTTTCATTTTCAGTCATTTCAGTTTCCACAGTATTTCTGCTTTAAAGTTCTGTATGATGTAGATACAGATGTAAAGTCCTGTATGATGTAGATACAGATGTAAAGTCCTGTATGATGTAGATACAGATGTAAAGTCACGTATGCTGTAGATACAGATGTAAAGTCCTGTATGATGTAGATACAGATGTAAAGTCCTGTATGATGTAGATACAGATGTAAAGTCCTGTATGATGTAGATACAGATGTAAAGTCCTGTATGATGTAGATACAGATGTAAAGTCACGTATGCTGTAGATACAGATGTAAAGTCCTGTATGATGTAGATACAGATGTAAAGTCCTGTATGATGTAGATACAGATGTAAAGTCACGTATGCTGTAGATACAGATGTAAAGTTCTGTATGATGTAGATACAGATGTAAAGTCCTGTATGATGTAGATACAGATGTAAAGTCCTGTATGATGTAGATACAGATGCAAAGTCCTGTATGATGTAGATACAGATGTAAAGTCCTGTATGATGTAGATACAGATGTAAAGTCCTGTATGATGTAGATACAGATGTAAAGTCCTGTATGATGTAGATACAGATGTAAAGTCCTGTATGATGTAGATACAGATGTAAAGTCCTGTATGCTGTAGATACAGATGTAAAGTCCTGTATGATGTAGATACAGATGTAAACGTCCTGTATGATGTAGATACAGATGTAAAGTCACGTATGCTGTAGATACAGATGTAAACTCCTGTATGATGTAGATACAGATGTAAAGTCACGTATGCTGTAGATACAGATGTAAAGTCCTGTATGATGTAGATACAGATGTAAAGTCCTGTATGATGTAGATACAGATGTAAAGTCACGTATGATGTAGATACAGATGCAAAGTCCTGTATGATGTAGATACAGATGTAAAGTCCTGTATGATGTAGATACAGATGTAAAGTCACGTATGCTGTAGATACAGATGTAAAGTCCTGTATGATGTAGATACAGATGTAAAGTCCTGTATGATGTAGATACAGATGTAAAGTCACGTATGCTGTAGATACAGATGTAAAGTCCTGTATGATGTAGATACAGATGTAAACGTCCTGTATGATGTAGATACAGATGTAAAGTCCTGTATGATGTAGATACAGATGTAAAGTCACGTATGCTGTAGATACAGATGTAAAGTCCTGTATGATGTAGATACAGATGTAAACGTCCTGTATGATGTAGATACAGATGTAAAGTCACGTATGATGTAGATACAGATGCAAAGTCCTGTATGATGTAGATACAGATGTAAAGTCCTGTATGATGTAGATACAGATGTAAAGTCCTGTATGATGTAGATACAGATGTAAAGTCCTGTATAATGTAGATACAGATGTAAACTCCTGTATGATGTAGATACAGATGTAAAGTCCTGTATGATGTAGATACAGATGTAAACGTCCTGTATGATGTAGATACAGATGTAAAGTCCTGTATGCTGTAGATACAGATGCAAAGTCACGTATGATGTAGATACAGATGTAAAGTCCTGTATAATGTAGATACAGATGTAAACTCCTGTATGATGTAGATACAGATGTAAAGTCCTGTATGATGTAGATACAGATGTAAAGTCCTGTATGATGTAGATACAGATGTAAAGTCCTGTATGATGTAGATACAGATGTAAAGTCCTGTATGATGTAGATACAGATGTAAAGTCACGTATGCTGTAGATACAGATGTAAAGTCCTGTATGATGTAGATACAGATGTAAAGTCCTGTATGATGTAGATACAGATGTAAACGTCCTGTATGATGTAGATACAGATGTAAAGTCCTGTATGCTGTAGATACAGATGCAAAGTCACGTATGATGTAGATACAGATGTAAAGTCCTGTATAATGTAGATACAGATGTAAACTCCTGTATGATGTAGATACAGATGTAAAGTCCTGTATGATGTAGATACAGATGTAAAGTCCTGTATGATGTAGATACAGATGTAAAGTCCTGTATGATGTAGATACAGATGTAAAGTCACGTATGCTGTAGATACAGATGTAAAGTCCTGTATGATGTTGATACAGATGTAAAGTCCTGTATGATGTAGATACAGATGTAAAGTTCTGTATGATGTAGATACAGATGTAAAGTTCTGTATGATGTAGATACAGATGTAAACGTCCTGTATGATGTAGATACAGATGTAAAGTCCTGTATGATGTAGATACAGATGTAAAGTCCTGTATGATGTAGATACAGATGTAAAGTCCTGTATGATGTAGATACAGATGTAAAGTCCTGTATGATGTAGATACAGATGTAAACTCCTGTATGATGAAACACAGATGTAACGCTCGGCTGAGGTCAGAGTCGTCCACAGAACACGCCGTCGCCACGGGAGACGTCTCAAACAGAACAAACGTGTTATTAACTTGAAGCCGTAGTAAAGTATATTCCCCGACAGACCTCCTGAGGCCACTTACTGTCGAGACGAATCCCCGACAGCTCCGCGGCATCAACACTCAGCAGGACCAGAACAACATCCAGCCTCGCAATTACAGACCTCCACAGAACCC